TTTTTTATGTACACCATAACACTTTTCTCAACATTTTAACAGGTAATTGACAGTCAATTATGAAAATTAAACACATAAAGGTTTGCCCCTCGGGCACAGTATCAACAATTTCGTCGCTCGGGCAACATCTCAGAACAATACCAGCCCCTCGGGCGCGATTCGTGTTTCTGTTGTTGTTTGATGTAATTTGAGGCTTCGACTAAGTTCGTATGATGTTGTAGGATGTATTGGTATATTTGGATGGAGTCCCGGGGGGCCTTGGGTGTGATTCGCATTGAAATCGGATAGAAATTTTTGGTATCTTTACAATGTCATCACCTGTTTCTAATTGAAATCTGTGTCTCCGAGANAGAATGTGATGACCCAAAAGGGGGTGATTGGGTCATCACCTGTTTCTAATTGAAATTTGTGTCTCCGAGGCTTTGAAAACCTCATTTAGAGTCGCCTCGATTTGTGTGCGCAGTCCGGGCGCGTAGCCGGAAAGCTTAAATGTAAAATCTTGTGAAAATTGCTAAGTTTTGACCTCGAAATGAATAAATTTGACTTCGGTCAACATTTTAGGTAAACGGACCCGGACCCGTGATTTGACGATCCCGGAAGGTCCGTAGGAAAATGAGTTCACTTCTTTGTTTAAAATGTAGAGAGACTTTTACAGCTGTATCTGCACTATGTTTAGTTGGATGATAGAACATTTTCCAGATGTAACATACCCCAATATTCTCCTAAGATTGTCATGTTTTCGATGTAAACGAATTATATTTAGTTGGATCAAGAAGCATTTTCCAGATGTTATAAGTAGTACCATATCGGTCCCTAGGATGTTTAGGCAGCTCTCAGAGCACACGTTTGAGAAGCAAAACATTGGTAACTGGTGCTTAACTTATCAGTGTATACGAAGCGTTTTTAAAAAGTATAATTCCTTTTATGAGAAATATGAAATAGATTGGTTAAATATAGCATGTTTGAGAAAGCTTGGATTGAATTGCAGTTAAGAAATAATTTTTTAGGGGTTAAGTGACTTTATTAGCTCATTACACAAGTTGTAATGAATGCATCATCCGGGTTGTAACTTCCCCAGCATTCCTTTATGCTGGTATTATGAACAAAAGTTACACTTACCAAAACAAATATTACTGGGATTAAGTGTGTGATAAGTTGACAGACGGTTTTATGTATGTGCGATACATGGGGAAAGCAGCTTGTTGTACCTCAAAGAGTTATGGGATTATCAGTAATATTTTCTAAAAGGGATGCATTTATTTTATGCGAAACATGAGAGCCTTCTTTGTAGTTCTTTAAATGTTGGTTGCTCGGCATACACTATTGAGAATCCTAAGGGGTGGTTTGGTTCGGATATAAGTTATGCAGGGATTAGCTATGCGGGTATTAATTATGCGGGATTAGTTATGCGGTTATTAGTTAAACAGGGATTAATTATGCGGGTATTAGTTATGCAGGGATTAATTATGAAAGTATTAGTTACGCAGGGATTACTATACAAGGATTAATTATTTTTGAATGTTTGATTTATTTTATAAAAAATTAACACACATTATGGTGAGTGTTCCACCAGGCATCAAGAATCCCATTGAAGCCCGTGACTGGCTTCCATGAATTTCAATATCAAATGTCTGTCCTATGAGATTCATCTGACACACTTCGAATTACATGTAAAATTCTCATTCCTTAATTCCTTGCCGGGAAAATGCAGAAACAAAGATAAAGGAAGGGAAAATAAAAGATCCTCCTATCCAATTTTGTTTCTGAAATTCTCATAAACCAAACAAGTGAGAATGGCGAGCTGAAATTCTCATTCCTTCATTGGGGTAATTTTTTCATTTATTAGTTTTATCAATGTATTATTAATACACGTATTCTTATTCTACATTCTACCCCGCATAAGATTATACATAGATTCCCTCAATATTTTATGCGAGTATTATGTATAAGGAGGAGTAAAATCTTATCAAGCACTGTATAAGTTGTGCAAGATTTTATACGGATTATACTGGATTTTATACATGGTTATACATGGATTAACTCTTTTAGAAGACCAACCAAATGACCCGTAGGTGTTTAAAATCCATGTAGTTTAGAGGAATGAGATGGTAAGAGATGACAGTTACTTTCGCAAGCTGGCTCAGGGCCACTCTTACCATAAGGAAAAGAAGATGACAGTTACCTTGTTGTCTGTCCTAGTTTTTAGTGCTTCTTTTTTGTTCCTAAGAGTTAATTGTATGGGAGGTGGATAGGAATATTCTTTTTGATTCTTCCACCATTAGAAGTGGTGGATATGCCATGTCAACAACCTATGTCCAATGCAAATGCAAATAAGGAATGGACTGTGGTGACAGAATACTCGAAAGAATAAAGTCCAATTTTTTCCCCAGAAGTGTGTCATGTCCATTTTGTAACTCAAGATCTTTTATTGTGCAAATGTGTATTTAACAACTATTAGCTCCCCTTGGTCTAAAAAGCATATACAGTAGCCTTTCTTTGACTTTAGATGGATGATAGATTGTATAGGTGTTGAATGCAATTAATATCTCCATAGCTGATATCTAGGACTTTATATAAAGGTGCTAATTTTTGGATGAAAAACGGCCAATTTGACAGTAATGTGCTAAGTTGCTCAAACTCTTCACTTTCAGTGTCGCACCCGTGTCGACACGACCTAGGTGTGGGTGTGGGATCCGTACTGGATTTGGTCAATCGATTTGGGGACTTTGACCAAAATCAACGGAGAAATTCGGGACAGATACAATGATTTTTGAAATCAAAACTGATAGTTTATATGAGTCCACCAACTGTATAGAGACCTGATGCTATATCGGTTCCCTCAGTGCTAACTACTGAAACAGTATGTAAATAAGACACAAGATTTTTACGTGGAAAAATCCCAACTTAAGGGGACAAAAATCACGACCTACACTGGTAAGATTTCAACTTCACTAACTTGTAACTACACTATTACAAGCCACTTTGTAATGACTCTATTACAAAGACTTCAATCACTCTAACTTGTAATACACTTATCACAAGCCACTTTGTCAATCACTAGTTACAAAGACTTCAACCTATGACTAACTCTAGTCACAACACAAACTCAGATGGTTTATGATTTTGAGTTTCCTAAAACAAAGTTTCTAAGAAAGCAAGATAGGAGTTACAATGAAGAACAAAACACAAGATTACAACTCAACTAAGGACACACATAAACTCATAGTGAAACTGGTCCGTAGTGGAGTTGTCTTCTTGTTCTTGACACACTTGTGACTTCAATGCTAGATGAGATCTTCAATGCTTGAGAGAATATCACTGAATGCTCAAGTGAGTATGTTGTTGCCTTACACCATGTTATTATACTTCAAACGACATCCCAAGGATGATGTCTATTCTTGGTTGGTACGACCTCTTCCCAATGGGAAGTGACTGTTGCACTGTTGCGTGCACAGTTGCAGGCAGTCACTTTCTGCAGTTGCTTTCCAGCTGTAGAGTTGACTTATACTTCTGTCAGAGAAGCACCAAGGGATCAGGTCCCTAAACTGGTTCTTGTGAATCCAAAGGCACACTGCCCAGATTATCTCGAGTCCATTACTGAATGATTGTACCAGGCATGCATCAGGTCCTTTATCTGGTTCTATACAAAAAGTTTGTTAGATCATCAAAACATAGACTAAGAGACCTTAAGCCCATCAAAAATAAAAGTTAGGGTGAAATTGAAGAAAACGAGTAGAAATTTTTATGTCATTCCGTTTCCTTTTATCTCCTTCTCGGATTTTCCTCTTGATCAATACCTTTCAAGTTTTCCACATAATGTCTCATAATTTAGATATAACTTTATAACTCTATTTTTAGATATTTGAATTATTTTTAGACGAATCCCTACACCCGTATCCGCACCCACGAATCTTAAAATTTAGATCACGAAGGATACGACCTCTAGATCCGCACCCGTATCGGATACCCGCACTCGAGTTCGAGCAACTTAGGTAATGTGTAGTTACCCTTGCATTTTGACAACAGTAATTTTCTTTAACAGGACTTGGAAACTTAATAAAAACGTAAGAAAATCCTACTAAATCCTAAAACTCTGAAAAAGAAGCACCATGTTTGCTAACCCCCTATCTTGACTGGATATCACCTTTAGATGTCCCTGAGCCCATATAATCATGATTCTTGTCCTGTCATTGAACACTAGAAATATCACTTCATCAATCAAGCTATATGCTTATGCATATAAATGTAAATGGACGTTCCAGCATCCTGTGTGCAAAAGCAATGCTCTTTATAATTTAGATGCAGTGCTTTAACAACTTAGAAGAGATCCTTATGGCTGTCAGTTGTCGCAATTAGCCGCTATCAAGGATTAACCTTAAAAGGGATGTTTTTTGGCCACTCTCTATTCATAGTGGAGGGCCAGTGCAAGTGGAATTGACTGTTGAGGTTTGGATGCTTCTGCTAGGGATCTCCAGCACTTGCTGTGATAACTCCTATGTTTCAGTTGGTTTTGGTGGTCTTCTTGCCCAAATACTATGATATTTTTCGTTGTTCACTCTGAATTTATAAAAAAAAAAAAACACTTTCTCGTCTCATTTTCCATCTCTCTCTCACACACACACTCACTCACAGTTTTCAAAGCTCACCTTAAGTGTCAGGTGCTGGGCAGGTGAGCATTTTTTCATCAGAAATTCCATTATAAGTCCTAATTTTAACAGTTAATAATGATCTAGGACTTTCTTACAAGTCATGCAATTGTTGGAAAAATATATATGACTAGGCTTATCACGTTCTTGAGGAACTTCGACTCTTTTGTATAGCTATCTCCACTCTTGTCTACTGTGCGTATTACAATTCTCAATCGCTGAGGTTAGAATGTTTGACCTATAGATGTTATGTCAGCAATTGGTTTCATGGTGTTGACTGTTATGAGTTATTGTTTTAACTTGGGCTGCAAGCACTTTTTCTAACATTGAGGTTTCGAAATCTATGGTTTGTAGATGTTGTCAGGTCAGCAATTGGTTTCGCGGTGTTTGCTGTTCTTCTCTCAACTTGGGCTCTTACCTTCTCCATTGGAGGAGAGCGTCTATTTGGTCATGCTTGGGACAAGCTAGTAATGTACAACGTTGCTGAAAAATATGGTTTAACGGGGTGGATCTAGGTACTTATTGCATTCATTATACAAGATTTGTATATATTCTTCACTTGAAAAGATCATCTGACGTTGGAACTTGTCAGTTAGACAGTTACTATGATACTATTAAGGAGTGATGAAACCAGAAAAGAGATGCACCTTTTGAACTCATTGTATGCAAAACCCAAAGATGGATTGGAAGTAGTCATTTTGCTCTCTCGCTCTCTCTCTCTCACTCACACACACAGGTATTATAACTGTAGATGGAATCATAATAATGTGAATTAAGGGACATGAGATTTTGTATTGTATTGTTATGAAGTGATTAAGAAGGATTATAACGCTGGAGGATTGTAGATGGGTAAGTAAAATTTATGCCAAGTTAAGCTACTAAAAATTAAAGTTATCTGATCTTGACCTTTAGGAATCATGTAGCTGGTCATAATTAATTAATTTGTGATTTGAGACGCAATAGCAGATTTGTATAAATTTTTGGGGTTGCAAGAGGTAGCCTTTTGAGGGAGGGGGAAGGGGTTGAGTCAGAAGTTAATGTGTCGTGTTTTTCCTGTAACGTCCCTTAAGAAATATTAATTAGAAGAGAGATTAAACTATTCTATCCTTATTTATGTCTAAGATATCATCTCTCTTCATTGAATATTTATTCTATTTATGTGTTATCTCTATCTTTAAGAACAATTATTACTAAGGGGAAAAAAGAAAAAATAATTAATTTTGTATTGAACTTCTAAAATGATAAATAATTTGAGAATCATTTTTAGTAACCATGACTATTAATATGAGACTAGTAATAGGTTTTTGAGTAATCAAAAGGGGAAAGCAGAGAATAGGTATTGATTCCTAGGAGGTAGGAATTGGGATAGATGGGTGTGCGGTAAAAAAGAAATTTTATGACAATTCATAAATGCGGTGAACAAAGTTATAATGATTAAGAAATACTTCTTACCTTTATTGATTTGGCGTACATATCAAATACTAATAGTCTTTATTGATAATCATATGTTGCCTGGAAAGCGAATAAAGCATGCTAAATAGATATACTTTCACTATTGATATGTCGAATACTTCAAAATACACCTATAATTAGAAAAGTGTTACAAAAACCTATGTTGAATAATGAGGAACTATATTCGTATCCGAATTCATGTAAAGATAATTTCTAATAAATCGATGTAATCATGTTCTAGTGCAAAAGAAAAGAAAGAAAAAAGGAAACTCAATTTGTCTTAATCTGCCTGAATTTCATACCTTATTTGTTTCATACTTAATTAAACGAATAGGATTCTTACCATATAATAAGAGGGGAATAAAATAAGCAGGACGTGATCTAATTCAGTATCGTTTAAATATGGAGTGAGATCTTTATTTTTTCATTACGTAGTCTTAAAAAAAAACAAGTTATTCCAATGGCAGAATAACTCAATTAAATTAAAATTTTACATTCTTTTACCTTTCATTCATATAGAATATTTTTAATTTTACCTTTTCTATTGCAATTTATATGTTATAAGTTTTTCCCTTAGCCTTTATAAAAAGAATATTATAATTTTTTAATACTAATATAATTTTAAACTTCTTATTATATATTTAATAAAATAATTATAGCTTCATAAATATTTATATTCTTAAACTCAGCCAAATATCGTCACAGAAATTAGAATCGAGGAACAGTAGATATTCCATTAAAATCAAGTGATATCGTGAAGTTACTACCGAAATTGACTCTCTCTCTAAAATGAATCCCCAATTTCAAACACAACACCACCAAAAATCACCCGATCCTGAACAAACAAAATCCATAAAGTGTGGCGTGGAGAATAAAGCGGCATTCAAAGACATGCTAATATCCTCAGATCCAATGATCTTTGCATCCAATCTGAACCAATTCCATATGGGATTGGCAGAAACTCCCTTAGACGATGGAACGTTCGAGCAGTTAATGAACACTAGCACACGAGGTATTAACACAATCTCCCTAATAGAGGAAGATAGGCAGAGAGTTTATGAAACCTGAAAGTTTTCTATTATTGTAAAGCTCTTTGGAAAACACATACTACATCATTACATAAAAAAAGAAGATTCAAGAGCTATATCGATTTTTCATTAATTGACCTAGAGGAAGACTATTTTATCATCAAGTTCATCAGAAAAGAAAATATGGAGAACGCCATTCATCAAGGTCCACGGTTCATTAATAGCCATTACCTTTCTATTACAAAGTGGAAGTCAAACTTTGTAGCCACAAAAGAAAATTTAATTGTTTCAGTGGTATGGATTAGGTTACCACAACGACCAACAGAATTTTACGATGGAAAAATCCTAGAAAAATTTGGAAATGCCATTGGGCGTATGCACATCAACCACAGTACGGGATCGTTATGTCAGGCTTTGTGTGGAACTACCATTAGAATTTTCAGTGCAGCCTTTTATTTATATTGGCCGCCACAAGCAATATATTCACTATGAATGTGAAAACTTTCTATGCAAAAACTGTGGAAGACTTGGACATTAAATAAGCCAATGTTCTTGTATTCAAAAAGGTATTGAGGAAAGTTCATACTTAGACAAGAACAATCAACTACAAAAGCGCAAGATCTAGAGGGGAATAGAAAACAGTTTCTTTCAATAAAAGTAATAGGCAAGCTCCAAAAGGCAATCCAAAAAGCTTCAACAATTTAATGGAGAACCACAGTGGCCCAGGTATCACGATTAAATTGTTCAATGCAAATACGGGTAAGTACATGAATACTCAAATCTTGCAATATAAATCAAAAGATCCTACAAAAAACTGGAAAATAGAAGTGTAAAAGCTCCTGCTAGCTTGGCTATTGAGAATATCACCGTCCCAGTCCAAAACAACTTCTCACTTCTTGATAGCGAGCAAATGGTTTTGAATAAAATAACTAACAATAAAAAACAAAATAATATAGGAATTTTCCATGCAGATGAACACTTGTGCACTCAAGTGGATGACATGGATACGTTGGACACTAACGTGTCAAATTTTAATGCTAGCCAAAACAGTGCCATGCAACTAAATCCCCCTAAGAATTTAATTAATTCCTACGCTAATTATAACTCCGCCCTTCCTATCAACCAATTAAACCAAAAAGCTTAAAATAATCCCTCTATAAACCAATCTAGTAAAGATATGTTGCCAAATAAATACCTAAAA